ATATTAAATATGATACGTTGAAAAACATTCCTTTAAAATAACAAAGTTAAGAGACAATCGAAAATTATTTCTCGAAGTACAAAATTAGAAATATTTTGAAAATGAAAAGAATATAATTTACAATAATATATTAAGACAGTGAACTAGAGTAACACAGTAAGAGTAGGTATTGAGACAATAAACATTAAACACGATAATCACAAGAAGACAATAAATAGATAAATAAATCAATAAAAATAAAAACGAAAGTAAATATTTTTAAAAAATCGAATAACTTTATGCATCAGGCACAAAGACGAAGAAATACGGCTCAGCACAACAAAGCGTCCCCTAATCCACACTTAACGGAAAATCGAACTTCATCGTGTCCTTCAAGGTCTTCATCGTGGTGGGCTTCACAGAGACCGTCAGGAAGGCGATGAGGTTCCCCATGTAGGACGCGGTGATCACGAGGCCAGTCATCCACCAGAAATAGAGGAGCGTCCTGCAGCCAGGGACGTTGGGGATATGAGCCACTGACTGGTTGACGAGCGTGCGACTCAGCCACAGGACGGTGGATAGGACGTCAGCCTCTGGACGGGAGTGAGGTTTAGGGTGAGGTGGAAAGGGCGGAAAGAGTGTCCTCTGGTGCTTTGGTGCTACGGTAATAGATTCTGTGGGAGTAGTCTCTGTATTTTTCTTTTTTACTTTTTTAAATCTACTTTTCCCCATTCTGCTTACATTCTAAGTTCTACATTTATGTTTGCTTTTGTCATTTTATATTTGTTTGTCTGTCTGTCTGTCTCTTTCTTTCTCTCTCGGTCTGTCTTTCTCTGTCTGACTGTTTGTCTGTTTGTATATCTGTTTGTCTATCAGTCTCTCTCTCGATATATATATATATATATATATATATATATATATATATATATATATACATACATAAATGTTAGTTTCTTTGTCTATATTATGCATGCATTCATTCTCATTAGTGTACAGTACTCATCAATAGAATATCTTACTGTGTACGTAGACGGTGCTTCCGGTGTTCCTAACGACGACATGGAAGACCAGAGCGAGGGGGATGAGGGTGCAGCCGAGGCCCACCCACACCCACCCTCGGAAGGGGTACATTATTCGCTCCCAACGCTTGACAGGCACAGACGTCTGCAGAGAACTTAAAGTTATATACTGAGCAGGCTTATTCTGTCTACAATTGTCTATTTGTTAATATATCTATCTTTATATCCACCTTTCTGTATGTCTATCTATCTATCTATTAATCTATCTGTCATACTAAGTTTGTCTACCTATCTACCTGTCTATATGTTTGCCTGTATACAGGCCTACCAGAATTCCACGTGTATGTAAACTTCTGTTTCATTCTCAACAGTAAGTGTATTTAACGAAAACAGTTTGGTTCGGATTGTCTGGAATTCCCGACCCAACGCATTCCCCACATCCTTCTCCACTACACACCAGAGCACACCGCCAGAGGCCAGACCTTGAGTCCAATGCCATAGGACGTTCGCAGGACGGGCACCGAGACGTCCATGGCGTGGGCGAGATCCCAAGCCAGAGGGAGGCCGTTGATGATCAGATCCCTCTTGTGGGCCTTCATCTTCCTGGCGACGCCGCCCCAAGACCCGCTGGTGATGCAATCGGCCGTCGCAGCCTCGAGGGAGAAGGTCAGGTTCAGAACTCCGGCGATTTCTTGGAGTATCGTAACGGCCAGACCCGTGATCGTTGTTTCTATGGGTGGGGAGAGGGAATCAGTGGGGGTTACTGATTTGCTTATATTTATTCATAAGTTTGGTTAGCTTTCAAGACAAGGTTTATCGTAAAAATATCGAGAGGACAGAATGCAGGTCTAAATAAAGCCGTCTTTGGTAGAATACGGAAGTCCACTGCATGTGGAGTTTGGCTGACGACGTACTTGTTCGTCATTAGCGTTGAATGGGCGCTGAATGCACTGCTAGGCACAAGATGACTGTGGGAAAAACGATCTAACACATGGCACACTGGTATCAACATTAACATGACAGCACGGGTGGTCACTCAAAGACACACTCTCTCTCTCTCTCTCTCTCTCTCTCTCTCTCTCTCTCTCTCTCTCTCTCTCTCTCTCTCTCTCTCTCTCTCTCTCTCTCTTGGGGTGGTCACACTTTCCGGGTATCCTTTACTGATCGGGATTCTATCCCGGTTATGAGGGGACCCGAGATAAAAATCTCCGTTGAGCGCGGCACCGAGCAAGAACCATTGTGTTGGTTCTTCGGTTACAAAAGGAACGATGATGCCAAAACAAAAACTGTAGTATAACTACTTGGAAGTTGATTACTTGATCGTCTAAACTGTGGCTATATAATTTTAGATATAATTACATTGCACAGAGAATGGGTAGCTGGCACGGTTATATGATACATGATAATTCATGAAATGAGAGGATTGGCTATTCTAAGTTTAGGGTCTTTACTGAAACTTTTCAATGAATATGCAATAATACTCATATAATCTATTATCTTCGTTCAAGAAGTAATTGTAGACACTATGGTCTTTTCAGGGACGATGATTCTCTGTAGGACACTGTGTATAGTGTAGCCAATGCTCGCTGTACCTGACCAGAAGCTCATCGTGCCTATTAGGGGGATCCCCAGCCATATGCGACTGTATCTCTCTCTCTCTCTCTCTCTCTCTCTCTCTCTCTCTCTCTCTCTCTCTCTCTCTCTCTCTCTCTCTCTCTCTCTCTCTCTCTCTCTTTCTAGGAAAAAAACATGTTGCGACTTTCCTTGCTCTACCACTGACGGCTTAAATGATTAGACCTTGAGCAAAAGGTCAAGGTCATTCACAACTAAATGCAATATATCTCCTCTTTTATATAGCACTATATAAATCAAATATCTAAGTAAATAAACTACCTATACACCTCACATTTATGCAGCATCCATATCCTGAAAAAATATCCATCTCTTATACACACTCGAAGCATCAGCGTAGAAAACAAGAGGGAAGTCGTCAGTCAGGGTAGCCACACTGAGACGGTGCCCTTGGAAGTTGCCGAAGCGTTCCCTCAGCAGGTCACCGCGAGAAACGGCTGACTGCGGACCGAACCACTGTTGGTGAGAGAAGGAAATGTTGTCTGATGTCGCACTATATCGTAGAATTGATTATTTGTGAATGGTAGTGTGAGTGTGATTGAGGGTGTGCTTTGAATTTCATGATTTTTTTTCGGGCAAGTATTTCTCGTTGTTTCAAAGGTTTTCATGCAGCGATAGTTTTGATGGGAAAACTGTCGTATCATCTCTCTTACCGTGGCATAACATGCGTACACACACGCACACACAATACATATACATGTGTAGACACACACACATATACACATACACACATACACACACACACACACACACACAAATACAAACACACACACAAACACAAACACACACAAACACACGCACACATTCCGAAAAAGAAATACCTGCGTGCGGAAGGCCTCATCCGGTGGAACGTACGGCATGAAAGTCGTGATTCCGAAGCAGTGATCGGAAAGCTTGTCCGGACCCGATGTAGTGGCGTTCAAGCTGCCTCTCCCTTGGTTCCGTTGGCTTGCCTGAAGGAGTGCCGAGGAAGCTAAGCCTTGGACTTCCGGTAAAAGGCCTCTGCAGGTGCAATGAATTTCAAGTTGATTTGATGATATTGTTATTGTTGTTGTTGTTAGTTGTGTTATATAACGATGATGATGGTGGTGGTGGTGATGATGATGATGAAGATAATGATGGTAATAATGATGATGGTGATGATAATGATGTTTATGATGATGATGAGGATGATGATGGTGGTAATGATGGTGATGAAGATTATTAATGTTACTATCATCACTCGTATTATGCTTATCATCAATTTTATTGTCAGTGATTATTACTAACATTCCATTAATATAATATTCGATACTTTAATCATTATTACCATTACATTAGCCTACTTATAGATAGATAGATAGATAGATAGATGAATAGATAGATAGATAGATAAATAGATAGATAGATAGATAAATAGATAGATATATAGATATAGATAGACAGACAGATAGATTGATAGATAGATAAATAGATAGATAGATATAGATATAGATATATATACACATATATGTGTGTGTGTGTGTGTGTGACGTATAGATTGTATATATCCAAGCTCCTTGATTCACTTTCCACTTCCTGCTCATCGTCCAGTGAATAATTTTCGCAAAATCATCGTGTCTGTCATATTCCTTCTGAACAATCTCGTTGGTATTCAGCAACAAGTAGTAATAATAATAAGGATAATAATAATCTCAACAACAATAACAACAACAGCAATAAAAATAAAAATAATAATAATAATAATAATAATAAAGATAATGATAATGATAATAATAATAATAATGATAATAACAATAATAATTATAATAATAATAATAATAACAACAACAACAAAACAACAATAATAATGATATTAATATCAACAGTAATCATAACAATAAAAATAATAATAGCAATATCAAAAATTACAAATAAAAATGACAATCATGATAATAATAATAATAATTATCATTATTATTATTATCATAATTTTAATAATAGTAATAATGATAACGAGGATAGGAGCAACGGTGGTAATAGCAATTATAAAAATAGCAGCAATACAAAAAAAAAGATAACAGTAATAAAAATGATAATAGATAACTATGCGATGATAATAATGATAATAATAATAATGATGATGGTAATAATAACAATGATAATAATAATAATAATAATAATAATAATAATAATAATAATAATGATAATAATAATAATAATAATAATAATAATAATAATAATAATAATGATGATAAAAATAATAATGAAGATTAAGATGATGATGATGATAAAAACAATGATAATAATAGTAAAGGTAATTT